TTTTGTATTTCATGGATCTGCTGGAAGAGGTCATCAAGAGGATATAACTGTCGGTTGACACATGAGCTGGAGCCAGACAATTGGAGGCTACCTACCTCTCTCTGGTCTTTAAAATGTACATTCCCCTTACCATTTCCACACTAGGAACCATTTCAAGGATGCAGCCTTGAGAGAGTAAAATGTTGCCTAAACCTTATTTGTTTCATCATCCCTACTATTCAAAATTTCATACACAGTGAGTTTTAGGAAATTGAATATCACATTATAAAAGAAATAAGATAAAATTAGTGCTTTACCATAAATAATCCAAGCTCTTATCTTAATTTTCCTTTCAATTTATATAGATATAGATAAATAGATAAATAGATAGATAGATAGATAGATAGATAGATAGATAGATAGTAGATAGATAGATAGATAGATACCTAAAGATGTGATTAATTTATTGTGCTTTCATTCTACAGATTCACTTAAAGGTAGATGATGAATATGTAGATATTGAAATGAGATATTTATCTTAACAACATAGCTTAATTAGAGTGCATTAGTGTCTACAATTCACCTTAAACTCAATTTTGATAGGTATTAAAATTGAACTAGAGAGCTATTCTAAAATAATTTGAATGCAATCAGCTGGATCTCTATTCATAGTGCATAGGTAAGAGATGTGAAAAGTTGATTATCTATTCAAAAATAGAGAGTGGGACTTTTATTTCTTGGAAAGTATGCTTCTGAACCCATTACAGACTTAAAAAATATTCTGTGGTGGTAACCCCCAAGATGGCAACAGAGGAGACTCCTAATTTCCATAGGAATGTGCCTCCTCTCTCAGATACACAGAATATAAAGCTACACAAAATATAATTCCTCTGAAAGAAATCCAGAAACTAGCTGAGTGACCCATACACACTGGGCAAATGAGAAATACACATCAAAATGTGACAGAGTGAGACACACTCTCACCATACACCTCACACCCAGCACAGTGTCACACAATCTGGACAACCTCCAGCTCCCAGCTGTGGAAACACAGAACACCAAAACCTAGGAGATGCAGCCAAAGCAGTTCTAGGAGGGAAGTGCATAGTGATAAACACCTTCATTAAGGAAAAACAAGATCAGAATTAAAAAGCCTAAGTTTACACCTCAGGGAGATAGAAAAAGAACTAAATTCAGAGTTACCAAAAGGAAGAAATAACAAAGATCAAAGTAGAAATAAATGAGAGACCAGATGAACAATAGAAAATAACAAAATTAAGAGCAAGTTTTTGAAAAGATAAAAAAATAGCAAATCTTTAGCTAGACTAAGGAAAAAGAAGACTCAAATAAAAATACAAGTGAAAGAGATGTTACAAATGATGCCACAGAAATACAAAGGATCATGAGGGGACAATGAACAATTTTACACCAACAAATTGGATAACCCAGAAGAAATGAATAAATGCCTGAAAACATAGAACCTACCAAAACTGAATCATGAAAAAATAGAAAACCTAAACAGACCAATACTTAGTAAGGAGACTGAATCGATAATGGAAAACATTTCAACAAAGAACATTCTCACTGGTGAATTCTGCCAAATATTTAAAGAAGAATTTTATTTTTTCAATTATGTCTCAGTAAAGCTGAAAAATGAATTGTTTCTAAAATTGTATAGAATCAAAGTTCACCTGAGTTTCTCAGTAATTTTTGTTCCATTGAGAAGATATTGAAATATTGACATTAACCCAGGTTCTGCATTCTCATTCCTTTAATAAGTTAAAGAATTAAATTATATTAATAAGTAATGAGCTAACTGCAATTTATAGCAAATATAATTTCAAAAAATACTAAGTTTTAATTTACAAAATGAATAAATGATTTCCTAACAAGAAATTGCTCAATCATTCAATCTTATTTGAATGATTCCTTTTTGGGAAACCATTTTCATTAATTAATTATAAATTAACATTCATTAATGTTAAAACACATTATATTTGCATATTTTCTGAAAATTCCATTGTTTTTTCAATCAGAAGATCTTCACAATTATTTGCTTACATTAAATGCCAACTTTAAATATTCTTTTAACTCTATGCTACAATAAGAAAGGGCTATTTACTTTGGGAATATTTAATACCAAAAATCAATTAAGTATTTATAAATAATACAATGTGATTATGCTTGGTAGAATTTCAACGCCATGCACAAGGTATTAATGTAACTGTGAGGGCCCACTTTAGTCTCACAAGAACTCTATGATGTAGGTATTGTTATTGCCCTTTTTCACCAAAGAGGAAAATGAAGCAGAGATTAAATAATGCAATACCCAAACTCATAGCTGGTAAGTGGTAGGGACACATGTGAAATCCAGTCTGACAGTAGAGACTGTACTTTTAACCTCTATAATTTGCTGGCTCTCTGTTCATGCTCTATTTATAATCACCAGAGTAATTCAAAATTAAAATACTCTCTTAAAATTTTAGGTTTTGTTTCTCTAATGGCTTACCAAACATATTTAAAATATTCTCAGGAAACAGAATGTGGGTTTTTTTCACTAGTTAAAATTCATCCAATGAGAGTGTAATACATTATGTACCTCTATAGATTTCTTACGTAGAAATATGTATTTATTGAGACTAGATTTGGAAGTACTAGATCTCAGAGAGATCACTTAAGGAATGTGAGAAAGTCATTATTTGCTGGCTCTCAATTGATTTACTTTGAATTTGTTAAATTCATTGATGTGTGAACTGGTTATCAAAGCTTGTAAACAGTTTATAAATCACTCTGAAGTTGGCAGAAATAAATATTAATGAGACAGTTTTCAAGAAATTTAAAGTCAGTTTCCCCTTTTTGTCACCATAAGTAAAGAAGAATCACAGTTGTTTTATTTAGAAAAAAACCTACAATTGATTAGTATTAATTTGTGTTCCCCAAGATAGCCATAGGGCTATTTACTATATGAAATTGAACCTACCAAAACTGAATCATGAAAAAATAGAAAACCTAAACAGACCAATACTGAGTAAGGAGACTGAATCGATAATGGAAAACATTTCAACAAAGAACATTCTCACTGGTGAATTCTGCCAAATATTACTATATAGAACTATTTGCATTATATCCACCTAGGAGTTTCATAAGACAAATTTTTGTTTAAAATGTTATAAAACACAAACACAATGATGATTCTAATCCTTTGAGATATTAACTAGTTTTACTAAGATTTGCTCAGGTATGGCCTCCAAGTAGGGAAAGAGAAAAGCAAGCACCTCAGATACTAAGTGCCTACCAATATCACAGCCTTAATGACATTATCCCATTGAACCAGGACTTTCTTCTTCACAAAGGACAAAACAGACTCAATGGGCTTTTAGTAGCTTTCCCAGGCCACGTGACTAACAAGTAAACAAATTCAATATTTGAAACACGTCTAACTACAAACCTGTGTTATTTTAGTCTTTGATACAGGAAAGCATAATTTTCTACCTTATTGTTTTAAGGATATAAAAAAGCCCTCCAGACCTCCAAAATATATAATAAAAAAGTTCTTAAACTCAATTTATTGATACATATTAGAAAAGTCTGGTCCAGAGCAGTTTGGAATGCCCCAAATTAATAATCAAATCTAGACTTGGTTTCCAATTTCTCGCCCCTGTTTTCTCTTTTGGAGATACTTACTACTATAGCATTGACATTTTGTTTCCTGAACCTAAATGCTTATTTCTCATAACACTGAAATACTTGAAATCTTAGAAGTCTTTTATATGTCATTTTGAGTTGGTGCTGGTGCATGCTGGATCTCCCTAAAGGGATAAGCAATTGCCAAAAGCCCAGAACCACTGCATGTGGTCATGACTGAGTTCACTGTGCAAGGACACCCAGCTGAATGGATCATGGAAAGGGAGTGGAAATCCAGCTCACACTCTACCTGCCAAGCATGTATCATGGTGTGGAATCTACCTAAAAAGGGCACCATTTCTAATTTATATAAAGGCAACATATAGGCTCACTCACCCAGGCCCTGAAAAGACCCTGAAAGTTAGGAAGAAAAGGGAAGGAGGTGGTTGGACAAAAATATTTTTCAAATCCTATTTCTATTAGAAATTAATTAAAGGAACTGACTTATAAAGCTAATGATGAGGATGCTTATTAATGCAATAAATCAATGCCAGTTGTAGGGACATATACTTTGTTGGCACTGAGGAGTATAATTTTATTTCAGGAAAAAAGATTCATTAGGATAAATATCAGTAGCATGTCCTATGCACTGCATAGAATATGAGAACTATTATTAAGGGAGCCTATATACTAAGGAATATTTATGAAAATGGCTCTAGAGAAAGTGGGAGAAACAGAAAGCTCTCATGTCCTTTGATTTGATGATTTTGTTTCTTGAAGTCTTCTTGGAATCAAATACCATGATGATGTATATACCACATTTTGCAAATGATCACACCATCCCTGTAGCAACTTCTGGAGAGTCTCTAATGACACACTTTTGAACATTGAGATTCAAGTCTTCATTTAATGAATATATAATTGGTACTTTCTATTTTAATACTGAATACCTTTGAAATGCTAATACCTGCTCATTTTTTTTTAGTACCAGGCACCATACTACATTGTCTGTATACATATTGCCTATCTTCCCAAAAAGAATACTCCCAAAATTTTGTTACTATTTTCTGTTTTTAATGAGGAAACTGAGGCTTGAAGAAGCTAAGGGACTTGCAAATTATTGGCAGACCAGATTCAAATTCATGCCAGTGCTGATTTTAAACCTGAGCCCTCCCTCTCTCTCTCTGAATTAACCCAACTTATGATGTAGGACATAAAAAATATCTTGAATCAACTATGACAACCCATGCATTCTCCTACTATTTCCTAAGTCATTAACTTGTTAAGATGCCATATTTTAAAGGACATAGTGATGTGCTTTTAATCCTTGAACTTTATGTCTATGGATAATCCTCGAGTTCTAAGAAATCAGAGAGGAAATGCAGAGGGCCGCTTACCTGTTCCAGTAACTTTTGTCCATCAAGGTGAGCCTGTATCATAGCATCATTAACAAGCAAGTGGAAGTTCAGGAGCACGTGTTCAATGTCATATGTTCCATGAATGGCATCTGAGAGCTCTTCCAGTGACCGGATGTATGCATGCCAATGTGGGTTAAGCTCTGCCATGTGTGCCAAGCAGCCCCTCATGACATTGAGGCAATATCCCATGCAAGGCTTACTGAGAGTCAAACCCTGGCAGTGAGGACAGTACTGCATCCTCAAGAGAGCTCTGCTGCACTCTTTGGAGAAGTGCAGATGGTCTGTGGTATTGATGACTTCAATGGCCAGATTCAATGCCTGCAGAAATGTGCGGCTGGGCAGCAACGACCTCCCCAGCTGCCCCATTACTCTTTTGGGAATATTACCAAATGGGCTAATGTCCCGGCGGGCCATCCGGATGCATTCTGAGTATTCCAGGGAACTGTCAGTCACACCAGGATTAATGAGATGATTGTAGACTAGAGGGAAAAGACTGTCAAAGAATCTGTTCACGAATTCTTCAGGATTAACATCCGCACCAAATACGTAGAGTCCTATGTCAGTGAAGAACTCTTGAACTGAAGCAGCTGCCTCTAGGGCCATGTTCCTGTAGGTGTTGCAAAAAAGTATACTGGTATAGTTTTCTGCTTGTCTGATGAGATTTTCAAGGGTTTCTGTAATGAAAGCAGAGGTAAAGGATGAAAAGGCTTAGCATTCACGCTAAAACTGTTCATCCATCTGTTCCAGACAGTAAATGAGCTTAATGCATCAAAACTAACTTAACGATCTAAATGGAAATGCTCAGACTACTAAACCCAATTTCACTCTCCACAGATAATGCCTGGTCAACAGTGGATATTACATACACCACACAAGTTTTATAGAGATGTGTTTCCTAGAATCAAATACTTTTCTAAAGTATAAAAATTCAAAAGAAGTTACATGCATTGTAGTTCCTAGGTCCTTATCTATTTTATTCCATAATCATTCATAACCCACTGATAGAAAATCAATGCCACTGAGAAAAAATTTACAATCATAAGTTCATTATTTATAAAAGACAATGACATTAAATACTTGATTCAATACCTACTATTTTTTATAGCTTTTCACTTTTTCTCAGAATGAGAACTAGTACATTACATACTAGTTACGACAAAGATGGCCTAAATTCTCAAATGGAAGCCTGACAACCTTCAGACCTCCAAGAATGTTCAAATTTTAAAAAAAGTAAAACAGTTCATGATTGAATTACCCCTAAATTGTTAAGCTTTGTTAAGCACTAGGAAAGTCATGTGCAATATTAATTTGTGAAAATAAATATTTTCATGACTACCTTCTCAACTAACATCTGTTGTTCTTATCATCTTTTCTGCAAAGAACTTTCCTGTGGGGCATTTTATTTTCTTATTAAATACTGATGCTTCCAAATCAAATTTTCTACAGAAAGAATAAAGAATAATCTACCCAAAAATTAAGGGAGTTGTCAGTTGTATTAATCAGCAAGTCAAGGTTGTATTTCAAAATGACAGTTTTAGGCAGCAGTCAACCACCTTGCATATACTAGTAATTACTTTTTATAATTAGCCTAAATAATGATACAGGAGTGTATCAATATATAATTAATTACAAAATACATCAACAAAGTTATCTGCCATAACCCCAATCCCATAGTTATTTTTTAATTAGGTTGTAAAAGACCACACAATAGTTCAGTAATCAAACCACTGAACATATTATAAAAAGAGATGGAATGACAGTAAAATAAAATGAAATAATAAACAGCAAGGGTACAGGAAGAGCTACTAATGAAGTGGAAGTGTATCATGAATATGCTACAGTGTCCTAAACAAAAAAATTGAAAACGAAAAAAAAAAAAACAACACTTCCATGAAGAGCACAGACAGATAAAATACACTTACCATGTATTCTGATTCTATTCATGGTGGGCCCTAGTGTAATATATCAAGGTATATGCTATAAACTGAATATTTATACCTCATCTGCCAAAAATTCATATGTTGAAACCTAACTCCCAGTGCAACAGTATTTGGGAGTGGGGCGTTTGGGAGGTGATTACAGCATGAGGCCAGGAATCTGTGCTTAATCAGCAGCCAGTGATTCAACCTGGCTTGTTTTTGAAACATTGCCATTGCAGATAATCCATCTATAAACTGTTCTCTCTTCTTTAACAGAGTGGTTCAACAAGCATTCCCCCATGAAAAGTCTGACCCCTCAGCTGCAGTCTCAGCCCCTGTACTCTGCTGTCACACATCTGCAAGAGTAAGAGTGAAAAGTGACTTAAACCTTTGTGATTGGAACCGAAATAAAAGTGGTAAGCTCATTATTTTCAATATTACAAGCTCATTTTTCTCAGTAACTTTGTGTGTGGCTATGAATTGTGAGTTTTGTTGCAAATGATTTTGTTTACCAACTATTGTTAAATAACAATATTTGCAAGTGATTTGGGTTTTTGTAAGATAAAATAAGGATGGAGTCAAAGACCCTCATACAACAGGCACTCTTACATGCTCTCCACCAGGTGAGGTTTTCTATAGATGTGTTTCTGTGACTGATAGCTGCCAAATGATTCTCAGTGCAATAAAGGTTGAATGCCACCCCCAGCAATACAAATGTCCCATTTGATTTCTGCTGGCTCTAAATAATGATCAGACACAGTGTTTTTGTGGAGAAAAAAGTTTCTTTATAAATCTCAGTCCCATTAAGTTTTAATGAGTCAGGAATATGTGGAATTTATCATTTCAATTGTAGTAACTAACCATTTTGCAAATTAATTTATTGTGAAAGAAATAGTGAAGAGAATATACTTAATAGTTATGAGCATCCACTCAAAATAAAATCAAATTTAGTATTTCAAACTTCACTTCTTTTGTAAGTTTGTCCTGAATTATTGGTAACAAACTAATTTGACTACTGATTGGGTTAGTAATTAAAAAGTAAATTTCAGAAAAATGTCTGTAATTTTTATTTTACTTTACTTCCGACTAATTTTCCTCTGATTCAGATTTTTTTTAACAAAATTACTGAACAGTTAATTGAGATTTTAGGAATCATAGGTATAGGTACATTTTAAAACCTTTCCATTATCTTCTATGCTTTAAAATTTTAGTTTTCACAGCTATATATTGATTTTACTACCCTTTGAAAGGAGAGAGATTACATGTTCTCAAATATCAACATTCTGACTATTTCTAAAATACCTAAACACAAAATGGCTTTTTGAAATGGACTTATTCTGCAATAATTTTTCACTATGTTAATGACTCATGATAACATTAAGGGTTTTTCTTTCAGTCTGTATTAAATCTGATATTGACACACTCCAGTTAATTGTATTACCTAAACATATGTTAGGTATGTATTTTTGAACATACCTAAGCATTTCCCAAATCCAATCAAAGATAAAAACTATAAACAATTGTTCTATATACATTGGTTTTTTTAAGGCTTGGGGAAAAACACACTTCTGTGAATTTCTAGTCCTATTGGCTTCACAAAGTTTTAATATATAAACATATCAGAAACTGAACAATCTAGAAGCCAATCTATTTAATGATTTCACTAAAATTTTTTAATGAAAATTTGGTAAATTCAGCAGTTGAATTTACTAAAATTATTTGTATTAACTCTGAATGTACAAAACTATCACTTAACTTCCCTTCTATGCTTATCATGAAGTTGAGTGTTTTCATTGTATGAAATTAACATTACAATTTTAAGAGGAATTTAAACTCATCAAAAGACTTGTCAGGGGAACAAAATATTTTGCTTCTCTACCAAAGAATAATCTACATATAAAGTCAATGCTTATAAATCCAAGGTAGGTTAGGTACTGAATAATTCATCACATCTACTTAATTATTAAAGAGAAACTATACAGTTCCCTTTATTACAAAGTTTTAATAAATTAGAAAAAAAAACACTCTCACCTAAACTATACAATAGCTTTCTACCGATGTGCTAAAAATTGTTACAGATACTGAAAATAAGTAAACAATTGCTGGGTTTGCTTAGGTATTTAAGGAATAAACTAGAAAAAAAAGCATCATTTTGTTGTATTTCATTGAGAATTTCAGTAAGCTCTTCTTTTCAATGATTTCAGTTCAAGTCTGTCAAGCCAGAAAGTTCCCAAATTTCCTTTTAATGCCTAAGAGTGGTAGATTGAATAAAAAGCTGCAATCTAACTACTGATTGAATAAAAACATAATTTCCCCCAGTTTTATGAGAAAATTAATTTATGTATTATCTCATTAAGTAGAAAGTGAAGTTGGAATGCATGAAGTTATCTGCATCAACTTCAATTTTCATCATTAATATTCAGTGAAAATTTAATAACCAAAGACCTATGAGTAGAAACTTTATATGAAATTTTTCCAGCCCTCATCACCTTTAGAGACATTTTATTATGCATACATCTGATTGCTGACAATTACATTAAGGATTTAAACTTAAATAAAATTGGTGGAGGTCAAATCAGGGAATATTGATTTAAAATTAAATGTGAGCAATTGAAAAATCAGTGAAGATTTATATTTAGGCAGGTAGCTTTTTGCAATAGGAGAAAAATAATTTATAGGGTTTTTATTGCTTTAAGATAAAGATGATTTCAAAACATAATAAACATGAAACAATTTATAATAACCTCCACTGAACGATGTGAACACTTTATGACCCTTTTGATATTTTAAGTTTTTTTTAATGTATGAATAATTCACAAAATTTGAAGTGTCTATTATAATTTAAGACCACAGGTATCCTCAAACATAGCGATATAATAGATGAAGAAATATCAAATGATATCAGCCATGGGTCATGATGATTTTACAATGTGTCTCTGAGAAATTTTCAGTTTAAATTTACATATTTGGGCATCACAACTGTGAAGTCACAGATTTTGTTACTGCATCAGATCATTCATTAGTGCGCTGTTGCTTTAGAGCTAGTTTTTGTCAGAAACTGTGTATCGCCCTGCATTGAATTACATAGAACAGGTAGGTAGACACACACATTACAATGAAGTGTAATTCCCTCTGCATTTTATTTTATTTTATTTTTGTTGTTGGTGGTGGTTATTTATCTAATTTTTTAAATTTTTTATTGATGTATGATTGATATACACTCTTATAAAGGTTTCACATGAAAAAACAATGTGGTTACTACATTTACCCATATTTTGTAGTCCCCACCCATACCCCATTGCAGTCACTGTCCATCAGTGCAGCAAGATGCCACAGATCCACTATGTGCCTTCTCTGTGCTACACTGTTCTCCCCGTGATCCCCCACAGCATGTGTACTAAACATAATACCCCTCAATCCCCTTCTCCCTCCCTCCCCCTGCCACCCTCCGCTTTGGTAACCACTAGTCCCTTCTTGGAGTCTCTGAGTCTGCTGCTGTTTTGTTCCTTCAATTTTGTTTTATTGTTATACTTCACAAATGAGGGAAATTATTTGTCATTTGTCTTTCTCTGCCTGGCTTATTTCACTGAGCATAATGTCCTCCAGCTCTATCTATGTTGTTGCAAACTGTAGGATTTGTTTCTTTCTATAGCCGAAGAGTATTCCATTGTGTATATGTACCGTATCTTCTTTATCCATTCATCTACTTACGGACACTTACGTTGCTATCATATCTTGGCTATTGTAAAAATTGC